ACTTTGCATAAAGCCAACCTTGTGAACTTGATACCGAGATTAACATGCTTTCAAAAAGGTCCATATTATTATTATTATTATCATATTTATTTATTTATTTATTTTTGAGACGGAGTCTCTGTCGTCTCGGCTCACTGCAAACTCCGCCTCCCAGGTTCACGCCATTCTCCTGCCTCAGCCTCCCAAGTAGCTGGGACTACAGGCGCCTGCCACCACGCCCGGCTAATTTATTGTATTTTTAGCAGAGACGGGGTTTCACGGTGTTGGCCAGGATGGTCTCGATCTCCTGACCTCGTGATCTGCCCGCCTCAGCCTCCCAAAATGCTGGGATTACAGGTGTGAGCCACCATCCCCGGCCACAAAGGTCCATATTATTTCCCAATTACCTATATACAACAACAACAAACATGAAGTATTCTTACAGATTCTGATGGCTCATTATTCCTCTCCGCACATCTATATGATAAGCTTTCCAATTCCCATTTGGTAGGTGAGGAAAGTCACTGAAACATTTTCTTGGAGGTGGATAGATGGTTTGAAACAGTCTCTGCACTATATTTAAAAAGAGTATCACCCACTCAGCTATGTGACAACTTTATTGACACTGTAGCCACATGAGATTTATGTTTTATGGTTCCCCTTTTACGTGTAAATTAACCAATCATGGAGGTTACTTGACCCAGACAGAGCCCTAAATCAATTTCACTAAATTATTTGACCTTTACCCTAGTGGTGAAATAAATAGCAGTATATCTACCACTGCTGTGAAAACATCTTGGTACATCAGTGTTTTGTGATAACAACTATGGAAAAGTAAAACACCACGCCAATTGGAGATAACTGTATGCTGAAACACAGCAGCTTTAATTTTTTACTATATAAGCAGCCAAAGGTTTTTATTATTATTATTACTAAGTGATTTTGATCCACTATGCTGTACTTCTTTTCTAAATAAAGAAATCTATACTATTGATTAATGCTTACAGCTTCCAACTTTAGTTAATTTTGATATCTGTATATGATGTTAATCTCATTTGTTGTACTTGGTTGACCTTTTATAAAATTTTTACTCATTTTACTTGTGTTCAACAGCCCAAATGTAGTTTTTCTAGTCTCTTCTTTGTTTTTCTTTCAAATATTTCTAATATATAACTACATGCCTGTATGCCCACAAGAGACATACAAGATTTTTGAGATTTGTATTTTGTTTTTATCTTGGTGTATTAGTTGATAGAAGGGGCTTGTTTTACTGCAAGAGATCTGATTTTGAATTTGAGATTATTATATTTGAAACACAATTGTGTAATAACAAGATGTTCATACAAAGCCTTAGTCACATATCACAAAAGCAAGATAATTTGTATTTAGAGAATCTACCCTAACAGGAAAAGTCAGTTAGGATCTCACTGATAGGGGATATGTCGCAATTGTTTTCCATTTATCATATGGTGACTGGGTTTTGCAAGGATTTGGCTGGGTTAGAGAGGTTTTTGCAATCAGGAAAAAAAGAAAAAATGTCCTGGCACTGTAACCTGTGAGATCCCAGAAATGTCTGGGAAAAATATTGTAGTTTTTATAATTTTTGCAAGTGAATCTTGGATTTCCAAATTGTTAAGTCCAGAAATAATGCTCTATGGAGACTGGCTTCCCTGGATCCTTTGAACCTGCTGCACACTGATTTAGTGAACTGTAAATACACTGTAAAATATACGTGCATTTTAACAGTGAAGAAAAAGTCAACAGCTAATATTGTGCCTCATGTCTTCAATTTTATATTACAAACATTTAAAATGCATATGTGTATTTTATAGATTTAATCATAGCATATATAGAGTTTGGTATGCTGGTCAATTCAATTAACCTGTAATTAACATCATAATACTGTTTTTATTTTAAATGAACATTGCACTGATATTGTCTGCTCTTTATTGTATCTTTGTCACCAAGAAAAAGGTAAACTTCATGTTACTTAAAATCATTTGCACAATTTGTGTTTTCCACATCAATGCTGATGGAAAAGTAAAATAGCAATAAGAATGCAGCAGATCTGTATTGCATGAACTCTGTGGAACACAGTGTAGTAAATGTGGAAGGACAGGGAAATGAGTTAGCCTGACATTCTGGAGTTTGCAATCCAAGAAAAAAAGGATATAGAAATCGTATTACAAAGAAGAAAGGAAAATGCTAAATGAAAGTCCAATTACATGATATATGCATGTAGAAGAAGGGCTCCCTAAAATCAAGAAAAATGATGAAAGAAAACAGGGAATTCAGGGAAGATGAGCTGAATGTGAGCTGAATTTTTGGGAAAAATAGAGAAGAATAAAATTTCCAGAGGGGGATAAGAAAGAATGAGCTGTCCAGATTGGAGGAGGAAAACATTCCTCTTCATTTTTTTCCATGTTACTTTTGTTGTTATTTCTGGAACAAAATAAAAAACTATTAATCAGTAAGAATCTGTGAGTTCATAGCACTGTCGTATGTACACAATGGTATCTCTAGGTAAGAGTATAGTTAAATTCTACAAGAAAAAAGGAATTACGATTTTGAAATACACTGTGCATAAAAAGACCGTAAAAATATGTTATTACTCTGCAATTAATACTATTTATTTCCCATAATTTAAAAAATCCAGTGAATTAGAATGCCTGAAAAGTAATTAAGTATGAAAAATTTGTTTTTTGTTGACACAGTAAAACTAAATGGAAAATTTTTCTTAATATTCTGTCTTGCTATACTTTTTATTACTTTCAAAATACATTAACTCTGCATTTAATTTGCATTTTACTTTGTCCTTTAGAGAGTTTCATAAATTTTAAGTTTTTCTTCTAATATGCTCTCCATGTTTATTGTTTAGGAATAATTTATACATGAGTTGCATAATGTATAATTCTGGTGCATATATATACATATTTTTATAAATATTGTTAGACTCATATGTGTATATGAAAAATTAAAAGTTTTATGTCTGCTTTATGGCATTATAATGAAACACATTAATAATAAATATTCTAGGAACAAATTGTTGGAATAAGAAAGTATTTATTGAACAAAGAAATTTAGTAGGAAAGGAAGTAGAAAATACTATTTATTTGTTCACACTAATAAGGAAATGCCATAAGGTAAAATATATAACAAATTATAAAAGTACATATTTGAATAATTTATGCACAAAATATCTCAAAATTTGAATAAAGGACTCAGCGGAAAATTCTTAGATCATTTACAATATTGTTCCTGAAACTTTAAAAATATTTATGTATGTCTATAAATTTGAGACTCTTTGTGCCTATAATTTATCTTTATTTAGTCATCTATTGGTACTTTTTTTGACCTGAACAATTTCTTCAAATTGATCAGGTTCATACTATATCTAACTTTAGCAGTCGATGAATTGTAAATCTTTCTAATTCTGCATTTTGTGGGATTTGATGGTATAGAATGTGCTGTCATTTTCCATTAAACAAATGTACAAAAAATTTGTGTAAATACTTTCATATTTACAAGATCTCAAAATGGAAATGTTTATTAGCCGTATGATCTCTTTCCCTCATTTATTTATATTGACATTAATTATACTGGCTCTAAACTACTCATCTAAAAACAACTTTTTGAGAGAAGAAGACACACTACAAATATAAAAATCTTATCAATTGTAGAAACATCAGTATGGGCAAGGTCTGCAAACATATGAGTATATATTTATCTATAGGGAGAGGTATGCCTGCATTCCATAGCTAGCCTTTATTCATTCATTTAACAGAAACACTGAGTCTCTACTATATGTATGGAAGAGACTAGGTTTCAACAATAGGAAAATAAATTAGAAATAGTCTATAAGAGACTGAGAATTTGCAGTCCTTATCAGAGATATACAAATATTTTCAATAAAGTGTTGTGTTATAATAGAGACGTGGCTAAAATACTAAAAAGGAGCACTCATAATGTTCACTATTAATACTACTACAAGATTGGTTTGTGGGGTAGAATTCCCATTGTCCTACTGGCATGGCTTGAGCCATTCAAATATTGAAGGGGATTCTGGGGTTTCTTTGATTTCAGCAAAGGGATACAATGAATTGTTTTCATCATTGCATGGCCATTGCCAAATAGTTTTACAGAGCGTTACTGTTGAGAATCCCCAGGCCAGACCTCACTCTTATTCAGAAACTAAGCTTATGTCATCTTATAATAGAAATGTAATGGACGAGAAGGTCCCAAACAAGGCAAACAGAGCCTTCAGTAGATGCTTCTGGCTGTCAGGAACTGGAGCTTGGAGTCTGAGTTTTCTCTCACCACACCCCATCTGCCTTCTCTCCCCTCCATCCATGCCATTTCATGCAGTTGCTGCCTGCCCTAGAGGGGTGAATATGTTAAATGGAGAAGTTTCATCTGCAGGAACATTGTTCAAGAACAAATCATCAGGCACATTTCCTTGACTTCAGATTTATTAAACTTAATCCATTCATTTTCATTCCTCTCCAGAGGTCAGGGACAGATGTGTCTCTCTCCTGCTTCAATATCTATTTATTATTTTTTATCTCTCTGCCTATCTATTTATTATCTATATATCTATACACATATACATATATGTACATACACGTACATGCATATACATGATTTCATAATCTTTGTTCCCAATGACTTTAGAGTATAAAATCCCTCACTTCATATTTCTTTTTGTAAATGACATTTCAATTTTGTGTTAGAGAATAGCAAAATGTAATGTGCTTGTTAACAAATTGTTCCTTTGTGCTTCCCATGTCCTGTGTTACTCTTTCCTATTTTGCCTTAATGTCAATTGCAATATTCCCTACTGAGAATGAAACTGATATAAAATATAACATTCATGATTTAATTTTCATAACCCAATTGCTGAATTGGAAGGCACTTGACATTTATAATGTGCCAATTTTAAAAATAGCTAAGAAATGTTTTTGTGTCACATCGATTATTATTAATAAAAATGTGTATATTTACTTAACCCCTTATTTTTGCAGAACATATTGATGCTCTGAAAGACAACCCCAGAAGAGTATGAGGAGACATACACAGTCTACGCAGGCCTGTAAGGTAACTTTTAGAAATTGTACTGGTTCAGTGCCTATGGGAAGCCAGAAATCGTAATCAGTGCATAGCAGAAAGAACAATCAGCTGGTAATGGGGAGTCACTAAGCAGATAAAGACAGCATTGCTAAGGACAGCCTTGTGACAATAATAACGGGATCAGGCCCAGTAATTAGGCAGTTTGTGGCAGTTGATCGGAAAAGACAAAGAATTATCTGTGGTTAACCTACATATGCGGCACTTAGGTTGCTGAAGAATCACAGATGGCACAAAAAAAGTGTGGATGAGATGGGTCCCAAATTATGTGCACTGAAAATACAAGCTGATATATTTTTCTAAAAGAATGCTATTTTATATACAATTCTTACACAAAATCACAAAGTTGTTTAGAAAAAAATCAGAAAGAGCAAAAGTAAATGGAAGGATATGCAATGTCATAGTAAAGGGAGAAACAGAACAGAAAAGAGTGATCAGAAGGAACTCTCCACAATCGACCTACACAAATACAAGCAAAATGATTCAGAAATTGTTCCTGCCCTCAAAGGGTTTATGGGTTAATGCAGGACATGTGTGCATTCACACGTACACACACACACTCTTACATACACATACAGATGTGTAAATATCTATAAAATAAGACAAGATGTTATAAATGCTACAATAAAGTTTAAAAACATGTCTGGGTACTGAGAATTTAGTAATTCTTTTTATGTATGAGGGTGGGACATTTTTAAAAGACCAAATAAAATGTGATGTTTAAGCTACATCTTGATAATTGAGAAGAGTTTAGAGAAGTAAAGTGGACACAAAGTAGGAAATGAAGAATTAGCAATTAGTGCCCAAGGTCAGAGGGGACAAGCTAGGAGAATGATTCAATGTAGAGATTGTAGGCAATGCACAAGATCATATGTTCGTGTGTGTGTGTGTGTGTGTGTGTGTGTGTATGTGTGTGTGTCCTGCCACCAGCTTTCCTAGGGTTGGGTATGATGATAGAGCCTCAAATGGGAATGGGTGTGAACACTGATTGTTAGAAAGCCTAGCTGCTAAAAATCAAAAAAGTGTGGGGGTAAGAACTGGGCAGGTCATTTAAGTTTTGCTAATTATCAAATCAACACAAACACTTTGCAAGAGATACACACTAGTTAGGTGAGCAGAGAGTACCTGTGGACGGTCAGAAGCTCCCAATGTACTTCCAGTACTTGTCTAAATCATTCTATATGAACTAGAATGTCTGATCACCAAAATATTACAATGAATATTATTACTTATCCTTATCTATTCGGAAAAGAAAGCTAGAAGGCAGAAATTCTCAAGTTATTTTCCAGGTGACTATCTAATTATGAGACACTGCACAAATCTCCAAAAGTAGCTTCTTTCTTCAGATTTACAATAAATGAACCAAAGCATTATTGACAGAATACTGTAATAATTAAGGTTGCTCTAAAATGGTTGAGATTAGCCAAACTCTCAGTTAAAGCAAATGAGCTAAGACTTACAGAAAAAGTAATCTGCCTTAAATGCCATTTTCTCTTTATTTGGCCCCAAACAGCTGAATAAAACTGCTGAAGCTTCAGTCTCTTTACTACAGAAATAGGCTTTGGTATCTGATGCTGTCATCAGGAACTATGGATCTTGTGTGAGTGATTTTTTTTTTTTTTTGCTGTAAGAACCAAGGAGTATTCGTTGCCTATTGCTGTGTAACAAATTGTCCCTGAACTTAGCAACTTAAAATAATAAACAGCTATTGTTTCATGATTTCTTTGGATCAGGGATCTGTGTGTGGCTTAGTTATGTGTTTGTGGTTCCAGTGTCTCTCACAAGGCCGAAATCAAGGTGATGGCCAGGGCCACAGTCCTTTCAAGGCTCACCTGAAAGAAGAAGGATCTGCTTTGAAGGTGATTCACCTGGTCATTGCCAGGCCACAGAAGACCCATTTCCGAGCTCACTCAAATGCTTACTGTCAAACACCCGGATTTTGCTGGTTATTAGCTGGAGATCTCTCTGAGTTCATTTCCTGCCATGTGACCTCTGCGTAGGGCAGGTGAAAATATGGTAACTGGCTTCCCTCCAAGCAAACAATTAAGAGTAGAAGAGATCATCTGAGATAGAAGCAAAAGTCTAACCTCAGAAGTGCCATCCAGTCATTTACGCTGCATCCTGCTCATTAGATGCAAGTGACTAGGTCTAACCCACACTCAAGGGGAGGAGATGTCACCAAGGATGGAATACCTGAAAGTGGGAGGGATCACTGAGGGTTGTAATGGAAGTTACCTACTACAGTCTAGCTTCATGTTTTAGTTTCTCTGAAAAATCATTCACACACTCCAAAATCCCAGTTAATGGCTTTGTAGCTTACTGAATAATCCTCTGTTTGATTTCCTGTCTAGTTTTTAGTTGTTGGTATTTATTATGATAAGCTGCAGCATTTTTTTATTTATGAAAATAAGGACATTGAAAACACAAAAGTGTTGCAGAATATGGGAAATCTATAGTTATCAAATCCATGGAAGATGACACAAAATCCCATCCACATTCCATTTCTCTTGTGCGATTTGTCACAGTGGAGGGAAAATAATGCTATGCTTAAAAGCCTACAGGTAACAGCAAATGGTCAAAGTCAAAACAGTTCCGATCTGTTCTTCAGAGGGTGTCTCAACTGGAAATACAGTTAACATTTTGTATTAAATGCAATTGAGTTGGTTCGTGGTTTTCCTTTTTACATGAATTTACTAATACTATTGTATTACAAATGCTATATATTTTTTTTTGTTTTTTTGAGACGGAGTCTCGCTCTGTGGCCCAGGCTGGAGTGCAGTGGCCCGATCTCAGCTCACTGCAAGCTCCGCCTCCCGGGTTTACGCCATTCTCCCGCCTCAGCCTCCCAAGTAGCTGGGACTACAGGCACCGCCACCTCGCTCGGCTAGTTTTTTGTATTTTTTAGTAGAGACGGGGTTTCACCGTGTTAGCCAGGATGGTCTCGATCTCCTGACCTCATGATCCGCCCGTCTTGGCCTCCCAAAGTGCTGGGATTACAGGCTTGAGCCACCGCGCCCGGCCAACAAATGCTATATTTTATAAGATCCATAGTTCACTGTTTTTACCTATCTTTGGAGAGCAATCAAGAGACATAACATCAGATAATCAAAAATTTGGGGAAGGGCCTTTAGGGATTACATATACATTTGTTTCTATAAGTGGACAGATCTTACTGGTAGGCAATAATTACTAATGGAGAGAGCTCAGTAACTGGTTTTTGATATTTCAAAATCGCTAATGGAAAATGAACATTTAGCCATGATAAAACTGTGTAGACTAAATGATTAGTTTATTTGCTTTTGTATGTAGTTATATCACTGAGAGATGAAAATTGTCATGTATCTGAAGTTCTCATTAGCATATATTTGCAGATGTGTGTATATATGTGAATATATGTATGTATGTGTATATATATGTGTGTATATATATACATTTACCTACATATATATACATATATACACACAAACATACACACACCCCCAGTAGTGGTGGTCAAATAAATTATGGTTGAGTAAATTCGGTTGGATGAGCAACACACCAGTATTATTAGTTTTTTAAAAAATGTTGAAAACAACTACTCAACTTCTGTATTTACAAATGAGAAAAAATTGACACAGAAATGAAACTGACTTCTTGCAATACATATAGGTAGTTAGTGGCAAATTTGATATTACAACCAAAACTTCTGATTCTTTTTTTCTTTATTTCTTCTTAAACAAACAAAAAAAAACGGGATACATGTGCGGAACATTCAGGTTAGTTACACAGGTATACGTGTGCCGTGGTGGTTTGCTGCACCTATTGACTCATCCTCTGCGTTCCCTCCCCTTGCCCCTCAACAGACCCTGGTGTATGTTGTTCCCCTCTCTGTGTCCATGTGTTCTCATTGTTCAGCTCCCACTTATGAGTGAGAACATGAGGTGTTCGGGTTTCTGTTCTTGTGTTGGTTTGTGAGGATGATGGCTTCCAGTTTCATCCACGTCCCTGTAAAGGACATAATCTCATTCGCTTTTTTGGTTGCATAGTATGGATGGTGTATATGTGCCACATTTTCTTTAACCAGTCTATCATTGATGGGCATTTGGGTTGGTTCCATGGCTTTGCTATTGTAAATAGTGCTGAAATAAACATACGTGTGCATGTGTCTTTATAGTAGAATGATTTATATTACTTTGGGTATATGCCCAGTAATGGGATTGCTGGATAAAATGGTATTTCTGGTTCTAAACCCTTGAGGAATCATCATACGGTCATCCACAATGGTTGAGCTAATTTACATTCGACCAACAAGGTAAAAGCATTTCTATTTCTTCACAGCCTCATCAGCATCTATTGTTTCCTGACTTTAATAATAGCCATTGTGACTGACGTGAGATGGTATCTCATTGTGGCAAAACTCCTGATTTTTAACCCTCTTTTATTTTGGCTGTAAACCAAGATTTTGACTTCATCTAGATAAGGGCCAACTTTTTAAGTAGGAAGAAAGAAAGCAATATTTTTTAATCAGGACAAGAATCCAGTCTCTGTGGATAGCAGATATGTTTCTTCTTTCTGCTCCAGGGCCGTGTCTCAAGAACCTACATAGCTATGATGGACAAGGTTAAGTAACAAACACGCTGGGGCTGAAAGCTGCTGAACAAGTGCTCTGGTCACCTGTCCTTAGGCAGGAATTCTGGAAGGTATTGTGTATGTTTTCATTAGTTCTAGCTAAACTGAACCCCTCTAGAGGTTCATTAGGACAATGTTGATAATGTGCTTTTGTTTTAAATCACCATTCATGTGGTCTGACATACATAGAAATATTCACCAATTTTATGTATATGTTTAGATGATTTGTGACACATATATCATTAGTTAAATATCATCAGAATCAAAGATGTGGGAAATTGCCGTCACCCCTCAGTTTCTCCATGTCCCATTAGTCAATTTCCTGCTCCCATCTCTTGCAATAATTGATGATCTTTTATTGAAATATGAAATATGATATTTTGCATATCAATATTTCCTTCCTTTTCATTGCTAAGCAGTATTACATTGTATGGATGTGTCATTTTTTTGCTTATTCATGTGTGATAGACCAGGTGTGGTATGGCCATGTCACTTTCTAGTTCTGTGAACATTCACATGCATTAGGGAGCATATGTGTTCGTTTTTCTTGGGTAAATGTCTAAAAGTGATATTGGTAAATCATTTGACAAGTATATGTTTAACTATCCAAGGAATTAGCAAAATAGTTTCCAAAGTGACTGTGCCATTTTGCATTCCCACCAGAAGTCATCCTTATCAACATTTGCTTTGACGAGTCTTTTTAATTTTAATCATTCTATAGCATGTGTAGTGTTATCTCACTGAGGTTTCAATTTGCATTTCAACTAATGAAGTTGATCAGGGCTTTGTGTGCTTTTTTTTTTTTTTTGGCCATTTATAAATCTGTAATGGTTATCTCTTCTCCTTTCTCTTTCTAGTTCTTTCTTAAATTATTTGTCATGTTAATGAGTTAGAAAGAAGTCTTTATTCTGGATAAAAGCTTTTTAACAGATAAGTACATATATTTTCTCTGGTATGTCTTTTGCTTTTTCATGTTTAGAGTATTTCAGAAGCAGGAGTTTTAAATTTTGATGGAGTGTAATTTATGAATTTTTTCTTTTATGATTAATGCTCTTCAATTTTTTAACCTAATGCTTTTTTTGCCTAATAAATCTTTGCCTAAGCAGAGGACAATTCTTTTCTCCTGTGTTTTGTTATGGAAGATTTATAGTTTTAGGTTTTCTATACAGGCCTATAATCCATTTCAAGTTAATTTTTTACATATCACTGCTTCCATCCTGTTCTGTTGTTCTATATGTCTAGCCTATGTCAGTACTGCACTGGCTGACTTATGGTACTTTATAGTAAATTTTAAAATTGGATGTAAGAGTCCTTCACATTTGTTCTTAATTTTCAAAATTCTTTAGGCTATTTTAGTTGCTTATAATTCCTTGTAAATTTTGGACTTAGTTTGTCAATTTATTAAAAAAAAGTAAATGTAAAATAAGGTCCTTCCTAGATTTGAACATGGATTGAGTTGAATCTATAGATTAATTTAGAGAAACCTAATTTCTTACTATTGTCTTTCAATCCATGAATAGCTTAAACATCTACATTGTTTTGTTTTATTTAGTGTCTCTAAGCAATGTTTTGTCATTTCAATCTTATCATTTCAAGATAATTGCACAACAAACATGTGCAAATATCCATTGCACATATTTTGTTGGATATTTTAAATATTTCATGTTTTTTCATGCAATTATGTTGTGATTTTAATTTAAATTTACATTTGTTTTTTATCAGTATATAGAATTATAATTGATTTTTGTATATTGCTGTTATGCCCTGTTGCTCTGCTAAACCAACTTAATAGTTTCAATTGGTTTCTTTAAGCAGATTATTTAATGTGTTCTACTAAGAAGATAGCATATTCATTCTATGCAGACACTTTTACATCTTTCTTTTTAATTTTTACACCTATTATTGCTTTCTCTTCTTTACTGCATGGCCTAAGACCTCAAGTCATCCATGATCATGAAATGCAATGGTTGTAATACATAATGTATTATCCTGAAGCAGCTGGCCGCATAGGGCCCTGACACAGCCTTCTAAAAGCAGAGTTAAAATGCCAGTTTAGAGGCAACGCTCTGAAAGTATGGATGTTATCCTTGTGGTTGCATTACATGCATTAA